GGGAGCCCGATGCGGGACTCGATCCCGGGACTCCAGGATCACGACCTGAGCCGAAGGCAGTCGCTTAACCAACTGAGCCACCCAGGCGTCCCCCAATTCCATGTTTTGATCCCAATGGATTTATAGTAAGTTTTGTATAGTATGTCCCTCATCATTACTATCTTTTTTTTTAACTTGAGGAGAATCGACATTTTTTTAAAGATTTTATTTATTTATTTGAGAGAGAGAGAAAGTGCATAAGCGGGAAGGAGCGACTGAGGGAGAGAGAGAAGCAGACTCCCCACTGAGCTGGGAGCCCGATGCGGGGCTCAATCCCAGGTCCCCGGGATCATGACCTGAGCCGAAGGCAGACGCTTTAACCGACTGAGCCACGCGGGCACCCTAAGGAGAATTGATATTTTTTTAATGATATAGTTTCCCTGTGCAGGCACATGTTTGGATCTTGTTTTTGTCCTGCAATAAGTTTTGTAGATTTTACTATCAAATTTATTGTTATTAAATTTAGTCCTAAGTGTTTTATAGCTTTTGACACTTCTGTAGATCACACATTTGCCCCCGTTTCTATTTCTAATTGGTTTCTGCTAATACAGAGAAAAGCTATTAATTCACCTTAAATCCAGCAAATTCTGTTTTATTCCTGGTCTATTTTTTTGGGAGTCTAGAAAACAGAAGGGTTTTATAGATACCCAAACATATCTACAACTACTGGCAATTATATCATTCATATACTATATATATTTTCCCCTTTTCTTAGTATAATAGCCAAAATTTTTTTTAAAGATTTATTTATTTTTATTTATTTGAGAGAGAGAGAGAGTGGGAACGGGAGGAAGGGCAGATGGAGAGGGAGAGAGAGAATCCAAAGCAGACTCCCCACTGAGTGTGGAGCCCGACATGGGGCTCGAACCCACAACCCTGAGATCATGACCTGAGCCGAAATCAAGAGTCAGACACTCAACTGACTGAGCCACCCAGGTGCCCCTATAATAGGCAAAATTTGTAAAACAACACTGAGCTACAGTGGTGGTAGCCTTCAAGCTTTCTTTATTACTTATTTTAATGGAAATGCCTTTAGCATTTCAAAGTCTATGACATGTCTTGTTGGTTTTTAGGAAATAGGGCACATAGTTGCATTTGCCAGTGTCCCCGCTGAAGGCAAGTCCCTCCCCCGCAGGGGTGCCGTGGGAGCTGGTGTGGAGGACATGCTGATCTTAGAATCGAGAGCACAAGAGTCGGAGCCCCCGACCCTCACCAGATTCTTCCCAGAGGAACTTAGAGGAGCTTGTTTCATATAATAGGTTCCTACTGACTTGCCTTTGAAGAAATGGTCTGGAACAAAAAAGAAAACAATATAAGAAGAAGAAGAAGGAGGAGGAGAATCAGCTGCATTCACCAAGGTAACAATGCTAATGGTGGGCTACTGGGTATAGTGGAGACCCTACATGAGTTGGGCCAGATGGGTATTTGGAGCAACTCAGAACGCTGGGCCCCTGCTGTTCAGGGTCCTCCTGGGGACAGGAAGCTGAGTCACAGAAGCTCCAAGCTGACAGCTCAGTTGTGTTTGTGGGGGTGGCAGGCAAGTGAAGGAGGCCACCAGCCTCTCTGGAGAAGCAGTCTTCACTCATGCATTCACCCTCCCCTTCTCGCTCGCATCCCAGGAGCTGAGGCACCTCTGTAGATCTCAGGGGACCCTGAGCAGGCTCCTTTGAAGGATCCCCAAGGGAAGGGAACAGAAATGACCAAAGAAGAGGCCAGGGCTGGGGCGCCTGGGTGGCTCAGTCATTAAGCGTCTGCCTTCGGCTCAGATCATGATCTCAGGGTCCTGGGATCCAGCCCCACATCGGGCTCCCTGCTCCGCGGGAAGCCTGCTTCTCCCTCTCCTGTTCCCCCTGCTTGTGTTCCCTCTCTCGCTGTGTGTCTCTCTCTGTCAAATAACTAAATAAAAATCTTAAAAAAAAAAAAAAAGAGGCCATGGCTGCCTCAGGGAAAGCGAGGACACAGGGCCTGCCCATCTGGGTACCGAGGTCCCACCCTCTTAGGGACCTCACAGAGGTTACCAGGACCCTGAGCTCTGACACACACAGGGCAGAACCAGGAGCTGCCAACATGTAGGGCCTTCCCAATAATCCTCTGAGGATTTCACTTCACAGATGAAGAAACTGGAGCTCAGAGAAGTTAAGGAACTGGCTCGAAGTTGTGCAGATAGTAAATGGCAGAGCTGGGATTAAAACTAGGCAATCTGACCCCAGAACCTGCTGCCACCAGACTTTCCCATTCAGCCATCCAGGCCACTGATATTAAGGTCAAGGATCAAAGATCTGATCACCTAAGAGCTGCCAAGTTTCGCCTGGGACCCTGGAGTTCATGCACTCACCAGACATTGTCTGCAGACAGAATCAGTAACAGGAACACGGTTAGGTCCTACAGTGGGTTGAACGGTACTCCTCCCCATGCCACCCCCCCCCCAAAAAAGAGCTCAGAATGTGACCTTATTTGGCATAAGGGTCTTTGCAGATGTAATTAAGGCAAGAATCTCAAGATGAGATCATCCTAGATTAGGGTGGGCCCCAAATCCAATGACATGTGTCTTAGTAAGAGGTACCAGAAGATCCACAGAGACACAGGGGAAAGGCCATGAGACAGAGGTCAAAGTGATGCCACCACCAGCCAAGGAATACCAGAAGCCATCAGAAGCTGGAAGGTGCAAGGAAAGATTCTTCCTTAGAAACGTCAGAGGACAGATGGCCCTGCCAACACCTTGGTTTCAGATATCCGGCCTCTGGAACTGAGAGAGAATGAATTTCTGTTGTTTTAAGCCTCCCAGATTTGTGGGAATATGTTACAACAGCTGTAGGAAATTAATATATATATAATTTATAGGAAACAAGGCATTCAAAGGGCACCTGGCTGGCTCAGTCAGTGGAGCATGTGACTCTTGATCTTGGGGTTGTGAGTTCAAGCCCACGTTGGGTATAGAGCTTACTTAAAAAAAATTAAAAAAAGACAAAGAAAACCAAAGCATTTAAAACTACTACTAAGCTCATAGTTGCCATTTGTCATTAGGTATTTTTCTCATTCAATGAATATAAAATATATTACTATCATGTAGAGGGTAATAAAATAGAACTTTCATAAAATACATATTATATTTGCAACCCCATCATCTTACAGAGAGGGCAAGTGAATTCCAGAGGAGGCAGTGGAGAAGCAAGCAAGCAGGCTGGTCAGGAGCCCAGTTCCCCTGACTTGTGAATCATTCCTCTTCCTCCCTAGCCCATTAAGTTATAGGTCACTCACAGTCTTCACCAACACCCACCGAGGAAATGAGAACCGTACTTGTCCAGCAGGATGCTTAGAAACACTTCCTGCTTCCCTCTCGCTGCCTCCCAGTTTTGGTCATGCCAAGGGCACAGTTTACACTCTGTGATTGTTCCAGAAAACCAAAGATTGCTAAAGGCCATTGTGTTAGGTTTGCCCAATCCATGCTATGTGACACCCTAGCCCTTCACGCCACACCCCAGCCCTTCTCTCCCCGCTCCGCCACCGCCTAATTTCAACAGTCCAGGCTACGGTGGATCAGGGCAGCCTGATAAAAGGAGAGCAGGTCTAGAGAGCTGGTGGCACCGTCCATGGCCTGGGCAGGTGAGTAGGCACCGTCCGGGAGAGTGGGCTGGGCCCGGGGAGCTGTGAGGAGGTGAGGATGTGGTTATTAGGGGGCTTCTTGGTGCTGTCTCCATTCCTGTGGGGTCCCCCTGGACTCTTTCAATCCAAGAGACTTCGTGCTGCAAGGAGAGGCTTTTCTCAACAGGCTGAAATGGACTTTTCCTCCTCCTGTCCTGCAAGCCCAGAGTCAGCAAACACCACTGCAGTGGGTGGTTTTATCTTTCCCATGTTCTTAGGTTTCTGCTTTTGGCCTTTTCCAAGGGATGCCCACTGCCAACGGATTCTTCCCTAATCCCGTGCTGGTTGTCCTGCAAGACAGAGGGCAGCCTGGAGGCCATGACTTTGGGTGTCCTTGCAAGTGTTCAGACAGGTTCTATTAGGTGAGCAAGAAAATCCAAGGTCACCAGAACGGTGAAATAAATCTTTCTAAAGGAGTCCTGCTGGGCCCTAGGTCTCCAAGGATGCTGGTAACTCAACCAAGTTCTTGTGAGGTGCAGCGGGAAAGCAGCAGGCAGTAGGGAACTAGTGGGGGTGAACAGAGGTGCAGAGGGCTCACCGAGAGGTGGCATCTCTGACCTAGCCCTTCCACACTGGCTCTCACCAGCCCCAGGACAGGTTTTCTGCTTGTTCCAAAAGAAACGTTCTCTCCTCACGAGTTGGGGTTTTCCTAGAATCTTCCTAAATACTGATGCCCTAGGGAGGGGCAGCCTCTGTTCGCAGAAACTTTCATCAGCTCTGGGACTAGTCCAGGCCAGGGAGGGCCCCTGCTGTCTGGCTGGGGTGAAGGGATGGACACAGTGCCCTCCTGGGTCCCTTTTGGACAAAAGAAGTTTGATTTGGAGGAAACCAACCTGGGCCTACCCCTCTCTGACCATCTCTACCTCCCGGGCTTCAAGAGGCAGATAGGGTCCAGGGAAAATACCAATGACCTCTTAACCTCTGCCTTCTCTCTTGTGCTACTTTAGGTTTGATAGTTCTGCTGACAATCCAATGGGGTAAGTGGAGCCTTTCTTTTTTGTTTTGTTGTTTTGTTTTGTGTTTGTTTGTTTGTTTGTTTGAAGTAGGCTCCACACCCAGTGTGGAGCCCAATGTGGGGCTTGAATTCATGACCCTGAGATCAAGACCTGAGCTGAAATCAAGAGTTGGATGCCCCCTTTTCTTGGAGGCGGGGAGGGTAAGTGGTACCTTCTTGAGGCCAGGCCTGGATCCCCTCAGCCCCTTCCCTGGGCTCTGCTGTCTTCCCCACTCACTCCCCAACCCCGACCCCGACCCCCACCCCCACATCAAGAGCTCTTGCCAGATTTCCGTGGGGCTTCTCCTCCAGAGCTCAGCCCCATGCAAGTGTCCTTGTGCCGCGAACAGCCCTGCCATTCCTTCAGGGAAAGTTCTTGCTGCCTTACCTACTAGCCCAACTGCATGTCCATGGGGCCAGCTTCACTGTCAAGCTCTCTCAGGTCTTTCCTGAGCTCACTTGCTCCAACCTCTGTGCTCTCACAGAGCTGAACACATTTCCCAGTATGTATGTCAGTGTTGCTGATTATTGGCATAGATGTCTCCCCGACCAGGCAGTGAGCTCCTGGAGGGAAGGAGCTCAAGTCTTACCCAGCTCCGCATCCCAGCCCCTTAGCTCCACCTAGACAACATACTCTGCTGGACTGATGGCATGTAGGGCTCGGGGGAGCCAGGAAGGGCTACTTCCCATGTCAGACAGGAGAGAGATCTCTGGGGGATGCTCAGCAACTTGGATTCTGGGGTTCCCTTCCCACCCCACCCCACTCCCTGTGTGTCAGGCTGGCTCCTCAGACCCTCATCTTGAGGCTGGGCTGTGACATTAGACAAATAGTTCTCCTCTTGGTCTCCCCGGAGGCAACAGCCTGAGGCCACAGAAATAATAAACATGGGGAAGAAAGGTTGAAGATTGCCCCCAAAGCCTAAGTCCAAGCTACTTCTGGGTTTACGGTATGGTATATATATTAACAGAGTCTTGCGTGAATCAAGGGTTAATATATGTAAAGCACTTAGAACAGAGCTTGCTATCTGCTAGCAACGTTCTGGGTATTTAATATCTTAACTCTTTATCCATACGACAGTCCTTTGAGGTAGAAACGATGATCATTCTCATGGTATGGAGCAAGAAGCTGAGTAACCTGGCTGGAAAATGGCAGAGTTGGGATTTCAACCCAGGCATTAAAATTCCAGAGACCCTGCTCTTAACCACCACATTTTATTGCCTCTCTAGTACAAAAATCCATGCACGATATTTGCTATAACAGGGTATGATGTAAGAAGAGCCTCCAGGCTTCCTCCTAGATGGTCAGTCCTAGGATGTATTGTTCCCCGGGTTAACCCTTTGCTTTGAGGAGTTCACCAATCCTCCTCCTCCTGTATCACTGCAGGCTACATTCCCAGCCCCCACTGGCAAGTTCTACTCCTGAGTGGCCTCTGGTTAGAGCCAGTGACGACCCAAGGACTCTAGCTTCTCCTTCAGGAGCCATCGGTCTGCTCAGGGGAGTCTCAGACAGCCCCTCATGCTCTGGGTTTCCACACAGCCTCCAGTAGACACTTTGCACCCCCTTCCCTCTCCCCTGACCTCTCACTGGCCACATGGAAGGCAGAGGGGACTGCAGAGAGACCCTGTCAGGGCTAAAGGAAGTCCTCAGGTCTAGACACTGGCCATAGATGTGCTCCAGTACAAACCCACGATTCTGCCAAGTCCCTGGCATAAAATATTGGCTCGTGCAGACCACACCCTCATAGACCGCAAGTTCTGGAAGAAACCTCAGAGACCAAACCGTCATTTTCAGATGGGGACCCTGGGCCAGAGCTGAAGAAGCAATCGGCCCAAAGTGCATTTCTGACAGATACAGGAATAAAAATCAGCCTTCTCGCTGTCTGGTTATCTGGTCAACCTAGCATAACGCTGACCTCTGTGGGGGCCATCACTGCTAGATCAAACTTCTAGGAACAGACGCCCCGCCCCCCCCCAAAGTTCCCAAACTTTCTGGGGATTCCAGAAACAAGCTGCCTTTTCCTAGATAAAACAAGCTCTTCATTAGAACCTTATCAGCGATATTAACAAACATAGATTCTCTGTAAGAAATAAAACTTTTTTAAAGCAAGACTAAAACATAAACGCAGGCATGTAACTGAGGCCTCTTCTCTGCTACTTCATGTATTTGCATTTTAATGAAACTTCTGAAGTATTCCAAGCCGCATTTTGAAAGTTCTGCCTCCCTGGCTTCAGTAGGTCAAGAGTCATAGTTAACACTCTCTGGCATTATGTAGGTTCTGCCCCGGGGCGGAGGATGCCAGTCCTCAGCAGACCCTTATGATTGCCATTTCTTTTCTTTGTCCCCAATGGCCAGGCTCTGCCGCAAAGCTGGTCTGCTACTTCACTAACTGGGCCCAGTACAGACAGGGGGTCGCTTGCTTCTTGCCCAAGGATGTGGACCCAAACCTGTGCACCCACCTTGTCTATGCCTTTGCGGGCATGAAGAACCACCAGCTCAGCTCTATAGAGTGGAACGACGAGGCCTTGTACCAGGAGTTCAATGGCCTGAAGAAGATGTGAGCTGCTCTGGAGGGGGATGGGAGGTAGAGAAGGCAGGTACCTCTTCTCAGAGTCAGAAATCTTCCCCAGGGCTGCAATTCAGCTACAGACCTGCTGTGTGGCTTTGGGCAAGTTGCATCACCTCTCTGGGCTTTCCTGTGCTTATATGGAAGATGTACGGGTAGAGAGGGACTCTTAAGGGCCCTTCCAGTTTAGGTCTAAGTGGGATCTGGGTTGGGAAACTGTTTCCCTCTGCTGGGTATGCATGCCCTTCTTCCTCCTAAAGTCTATCCATCCTTTAGCTCAGGTGTTATCGCCACCTTGACAAAGCCACTCTGTGGATCTGCCCTTATCTCTGCTTCCTGAGTTCTTTGTCTGTATATATCCCCAGCCAGATGGGAGGCCCTTGAAGGCAGGAACATGCCTTTTCTTTCCCAATCTAGAGCTCCCCCATCCAGGCTCTGTGCATAGGGACTCACACAACCCCCACCCCATCAGCGCCCATCAGGGCACCCACCACCCCTTGCTTTCCCCATCAGTGAGGTGAGCCCCAGGAGCTGGCTAGGCATTCAGTTCTGTCAATTCCAGCATTTGTGTTGTCTTTCCTAGGAATCCCAAGCTGAAGACGCTGCTTGCCATTGGGGGCTGGAACTTCGGCACCCGAAAGTGAGTTGGCCGTGGGCACTTGTATGGCAGAGCCACTGGGTGGAGACCCGACTTACTGGCAAGGGAGAGCCCTGGTCAGGGAATCAGGCCAGGCTGAAGTGTAGTCAGGGTGAGGGAGTCGGGAGGGGAGCCTGGACTCTGGGGGCTGACCTTCCTCTTGGCCTCTTGGTACCTCATTCGGAGGGCTGTGGAGGGAGCTCAGCTCCAGACTGTTACACATCCAGTCTTGCCAGGAGTGCAGGAGAGATTCTGGCCTCTTTCCAGTTTTCAGTCTCTTCCTCCGAGGAATGGGTAGAGGGAGAGTCCCAGCTAATCCCAGACAACATGTAGTGTCTATATTTCTGGAGCTCTGAAACAGGATATCTTATCTGAGAATTTTTGTTCCACTTCTGAGAGTGAGCTTGGCTGCCCAAAATATTGGCATTTCTGGGACATTTTTGAGGAATTATGGAGACAATGGAATGAGATATTTGAACCTAGACTTTTCCTAGAAAGTCCAGAATATAAGGTTCCCAAAGTTCTAAACTGCTCTTTCTAAAACTTTTTGGTTTTTTTTTTCTTCAAGATTTTATTTATTTATTTGTCAGAGAGAGAGCACAAGCAGGGAGAGCGGCAGGCAGAGGGAGAAACAGGCTCCCTGCTGAACAAGGAGCCTGATGCGGGGCTCGACCAGGACCCCGGGATCATGACCCGAGCCGAAGGCAGACGCTTAACCGACTGAGCCTACCAGGCATCCCATTTCTAAAATTTTTTGGATCATGAGCCCTTTTGAAAACCTGATGAAATTTATGACCCACCTTCCCCAAATACTCTTTATATGCAGATTTTTTATTGGAATACAGGGGTTCTTAGCCTGGGGATCCCAGCACGTAGACCCACTTAAGAACTGCTGCTATTAATTAAATTAATAAATCAATAGAAAACCAAGTAAAATAGGATCAGAAACCTTGAGACACTTCTTGGAGCGATCCTGGGAATCAGGAGGATGTGGGGAGGGGGTTCTTCGGGCAGCTTGGGATTTCGAGGAGCTCTGGACTAGTAATAGCACAAGCATTTTACGAATGTGAGTTTGAAGAAAATGACCGTGTTAACCCACCAGGGAATGAGGGCAGCAGGCTCTCGGGTTACCCAGATCCTCACTAACCTTGCTGTACTTCTCTCTGTTCTTTTAGAAACTGATTCCTCTTCTTTTCTAAACCTCCACGCTGGGGTGACAGCCAGCTCTGGTTCAGGGTAGGACAATTCCCTGAGCAGGGACATGGCAGTAGGTTGGTGGAGGGAATTCGAGGAGGCAGAGCTCCAGGCAAGTCAATGTGCCCTGGGGACAGGACACACTTCTGGGTTGTCTCTTTCCGAGACCAGGCTGGTAATTCCACGGCAAATATCTCAGCAGCCTCTGAAGCAGCCCTCCCAGCATCCTCCCGGCCCGAACGGCCGGCCACCTATATCCTGAGGAGTTTCTCGCTTGCGTCTGAGGGAGAGAGTGGCCCCCTGTCAGCAAGGCAGGCCCACACTGTCCTTCATCACCCCACAGGTTCACAGATATGGTGGCGACAGCCAACAACCGTCAGACCTTTGTCCACTCAGCCATTAAGTTTCTGCGCAATCATGGTTTTGATGGCCTTGACCTTGACTGGGAGTACCCAGGAAGCCGGGGGAGCCCTCCTTCAGACAAGCAGCGCTTCACAGCCCTGGTGCAGGTATGGCTGGGCGGGGAAGAGAGTCACCCCACTGGCCAGGGGGGGCCCGCACCGGTGGCCTCACAGGACATGTGGGTGCTGCTCTGTCCCTGGGGCCCACTGCTTCGTGTTAGCATAGCACAGACCAGCCCTGTGGTCGGTTTTCAGACTCCTGAGAGTGAGCATCTGCTTGGTGCCCCCAGGGGCCTGTCTGGTCCCTGTCTCTGTGCTCACTCTGAGCTGCCCTTGCAGGACCTGGCCGTCGCCTTCCAGCAGGAAGCCCAGACTTCGGGGAAGGAACGCCTCCTTCTGAGTGCAGCCGTCCCGGCCGGGAGAAAGTACATAGATGCTGGATATGAGGTGGACAAAATTGCTCAGTGAGTCTCAGGCGGACGGTAAGGAAGCTGTGCTCTCCGAGGTGGGAGAGGCCACTGCAGCCTGAGCTGCCGCAGGAGTAAAGCAGGTGCTCACCTGCGACGTGTCATTTTGGAAAAGACCGGCCATCCAGCAGCTGACCCAGGAAGGGTGTGCTCACTGTGTCAGCTACTCCGGTGTTCCAGATAGTCTCTTTTGGAATCCTTGCCCTTTCCCTTGGGAACTCAGTTTTTTTTTTTTTTTAAAGATTTTATTTATTTATTCATGAGAGACAGAGAGAGAGAGAGAGAGAAGCAGGCTCCCAAGGATCAGGGAGCCCGATGCGGGACTCGATCCCAGGACCCTGGGATCATGACCTGA